GGCATTTATGAGTATCGTTCAACCGATCCCCATCCCCAGCGGCGTGGCCCGGGCCCCACTGGCCGATTTACCCCCCTAGATGGGGATATAGGCCGTCCCCTTCGGGTTTCGAGGGGTGTATCCCCAGTCACCACACCGTTTGGGGACCCTCGACTCCTCCTCCTCCTCCTCCCTCTGCTCTTCCAAGATGAGGAACAGCAAGATCTGCATTAGCCGGAGGGCCCAGATGCCCGCGCGGTGCCTCCTCAGAAGAAGAGGGCATACGACAATTGCTCGACGTGAAAATCACCGCATGCACGACGAAAACCAGCTGGGCTTACGCGAGACGACGTAGCGACGTTATGCGGCGGCTTACGCGGGCCGCTGGCGTGGCACACCACATCGGAAGCGAGGGCGCTTACGCGCGACCTTGCGCGGGGAGCTTACGCGCCAATGTCGGTGCAGACGAACCAACTTTTCTGCGTCACTCATATGCGCATCTCGTTCCCTAACACTTTCCGTTGAGTGTCTGGGTGTCAGCGTGAGTCCGAATGGACGACGGGAATGACGACGACGGCGACGACGATAACGGCGGCTAAAACCAGCGCCGCGTTGGAGAAGTCCCACGTAACAAGCTGCTCTGACAGCGGAGGAGTCATAGCAACATAACAGGCAAACCGCCTGAGACGATCCTCAATCCTCCCCTTGCTTCTCCCGTTCTCAGCCTCCTCCTCCTCCTCCTCCTCCTTCTGCTCCTCCTCCTCCTGCTCTTCCTCGCGCCCCCGTGGGATACGCCCACAATCTCATCGCGCACGGCCCCGTGCGATGCCCCCCAGGCCCCGTGAGATACCCCCTCTCCTCATACCTCGTCGTACCTTCTTCTTCATATCCCTCGTCCTCATACCTCGTCCTATCTTCTTTTTATACCTCGTCCTACCCCTCTCCTCATACACCGTCCTCACACCTCCTCCTACCTTCTTCTGCTGTTCCTGCCTGCGCTATACGAGCGCGAACGGGCCCGCGAGAACAGCCTGGCGCTTCTCCCTGGGAGTGCTGAACGACAGCGCCCCTCGAGACATCCTCACAGTCTGCTCACGCAAGCAGGCCGCACGAGACATCCCCACAATCTGGGCGCGACCCGGGGGATCGAGTTGCCCCCGGGCGGCTCCTCCTCGGGAGTGCTGAAACGAGCGCCTCGCTCGAGACATCCTCACAATCTGCTCTGAGAGCAGAGGATGTTGCGCACCCCAACAAGCAAACCGCTCGAGGCATCCCCAATCTGGGCGCGAACGAGGGAATGAGATCACCCTGGCGGTTCGGAATGAGACACCCCCTGGCGGCTCCGTTTGGGGAGTGCTGAAGCCAGCGCCTCGCCCGAGACATCCTCACAACCGACTCTGAAAGCAAAGGATGCTGCGCACGCAAACACGCAAACCTCTCGAGACAGCCCCACAATGTGGGCGCGCACGGGGGAGTGAGATACTTCCTGGCGGCTCCCCCTTGGCCTGACGACTTTCGGCGACCGCAGTGTATGCCGCTTGCTTAGAGGCCTCCTGGCTGGGGTCCGCATCGGCGACCTCGGCGATGCATCAGCAGCGTCACTGTGGAGAAAATCGGGCTCCACATCGAGCCGCATCGCCGACGTATGGGCGATGCGGCGCGATCCTCTGACCCCATCGTCTCCGATCCCGCCCAGGAGGTCTAGATTATTCTTGTCCACGCCACCCCTGGTCACTCCTCCTCCTCCTCCTCCGCCTCCTCCTCATCAACATCATCATCATCATCACCATCATCATCAACATCATCATCATCCTCCTCCTCCTCCTCATCATCACCATCATCACCACCACCACCATCACCATCACCATCACCATCACCATCACCATCATCACCATCATCACACGTATCACCATCATCACCCTCACCATCATCATCATCATCGTCATCAGCATTGCCATCATCATCACCATCACCATCATCAGCATCACCACCACCACAAGAATGACCATCATCAACAACACCATCATCATCAACATTATCACCATCACAACCGCCACCATCATTACCATCATCATCGTCGTCGTCGTCGTCGCCATCATCATCATCACCACCAGCATCATCACCACCACCACCGTCATTATCATCAACAACATCATCACCATCACCATCACCATCAGAATCACCAGCACCAACACCATCATCATCGTCACCATCACCATCATCATCACCACCACTACCACCACCATCATCACCACCACCATCTTCATCCTCATCCTCATCCTCATCACCATAATCACCACTAATTGCCATTACCACACTAATCAGTATCACCATCATCATCAACGCCATCATCATCACCACTATCAACACCACAACTACCACCACCATCATCATAATCATTGTCGTCGTCGCCGTTACCATCGCCAACACCACAACCATCAACATCATCACCACCACCTCCATCATCACCATCATCATCACCATCATCACCATCACCATCACCATCATCATCACCACCAGCATCACCAACACCATCACCATCACCATTATCATCACCATCATCATCATCATCACCACAACCACCATCACCACCACCACCATCATGATCATCATCATTATCGGCACCATCACCATCACCACCATCACCACCATCACCACCACCATAATCAGCGTCATCATCATCGTCATCATCATCATCACCACCATCATCATCATCATCATCATCATCATCATCATCATCATCATCATACTACTCATCCGTATCATCGCCAGCATCATCGCGATCACCATCACCATCACCACCACCATCATCATCACAACCATCATCATCATCATCATCATCATCATCATCATCATCATCATCATCATCATCAGCAACGCCAGCTGGAGGCCGCCCTTACGGCGGTGCGGGCATGGACAAGAGCACCCAGCCTGGCGTCTTCCTCGTGTCTGCCGCTGGAGGCCGCTCTTACGGCGGTGCGGCTCTTGCATTTCTCGCCGCCGGAAGCCGCCCCCACGGCGGTGCGGCCACGTTCGCCTTCAACTTCATAGGCTCCGCAGGTTACTAGGGCGTTTGTGCTGGTTCAACTTCCTGGGCTTCGTCGGCGAATTCGTGGTCCACCTTTTCTATTTCAAATTTGGGTGCAGCAATTTCGTATAGAAGGAATGAACAGGTTGGCTGGTATTCTTGGCTGCGGTGCCGTTTGCGAGGCTGTCTGTGGGTGACGCGATCTTCATGATTGGTTGGAGGTTGGCCGAACACTTAGGCCCGAATCGAGCGGAGTCCATTTCAGTTAAGCTTGGTATTTCGTCTGCCGAGGATGCCACTCATTTCTGGAGGTATTCACTATGTAACCAGGTCGTGCTGCTTCATGGACTTCTTCATCTGATTTCTGCCAGCATCCCAAATTTTCTCTTCACATTGCTACGCAAGCGTTCCGAATCCGAATCCGAATCCTCCTCCTCCTATCCCGAGTCACTGAGGCACTGACGGCTGCAATGTCGTTCGGACGTAGCCCTCCTCCTCCTCCTCCTCCTCCGCCTCCTCCTCCTCCTCCTCCTCCTCCTCCTCCTCCTCCTTGTCTTCCTCCTCCCCCCTCTAAATGGCCCAGATTTCTGCTCCGGCCCCCTCTCCTCCTCCCCCTCCCCCTCCCTCCGAGGCCCAGATTTCCCATCCCCCCCCCCTCCCCCTCCCCCTCCTCTCCCCCTCACTTATCTGCCCCCCCTCGTCCTCCCCTCCTCCGCCTCCCCATCTCCCCCCCCCTCCCCCTCCCCCTCCCCAGGAGGAGGAGGAGGAGGAGGAGGAGGAGGAGGAGGAGGCGCAGGAGGAGGAGGCGGAGGAGGAGGAGGAGGAGAGGAGGAAGAGGAGGTGGAGGCTTCCCCCCTCCCCCTCCCCCCTCCCCCTGGGAGGCCTGAGCTTCCTCGCCTCCTCGGCTCCTGCCCCCGAGGAGCAGCAGCAGCCTGCCCGCGGGCAGCCGCAGGGCCTGCAGCCTCTCCGCCAGCTCGACCGCCGTCGCCACGGAGCCGCGCGCCGCGGCGGGGCCCCCGGGGGCGTGCTCGTCGGCGGCCCAACGACGGGGCCCCGCGGTCAGGTCGGGCGTGTCCCCCCCTGCAGGCCGGACTTTCGGGCGGAAGAACAGCGCACAGTCCAACCAGGCTACGCCATGCTCAAACATGATAAAACAGATCGTCCCCAGACCATGTTTGACTATCTCGAGCATGCCTCCCGTTGAGGGACAGGCCCGACCGAACCCTGTGGCCAAAGCTGTCCCCCCTACAGGGCGGACTTTGGACGAAGAACAACGCATAGTCCAAACATGCTACGCAGCGCTCAAACATACAGTCGGGCTGCTGAAATAAGGAACGCTAAATAAGGAACGACGCCCCTCTGCGGCTTCAAAAAAGCCTGGGTGCACGAGAAGGGCTAGAGGAACAACCGCGGAAGGACGTAAGGAACATCGAGCCCCTTCCGAATCCAAGCTGTTCCTTATTTCAGCGTCTTGGCTGTAATAGAAAAATCGTCCCCAGACTATGTTTTACTATTTCGAACATTCCTCCCGTAGAGGGACCAGCCCGACTGAACCCTGCGGCCAAAGCTGTGAGAAATCGAGCACGGGATCGACCACAGAATCCGGTGCACCCCAGAATATGTTTTCTTGGCCGTCGAGCCTGCGAGAACTGCGAAGACTGCTCCGCAGATCTACGCAACGTACCACGCACTTCTCGCAGATTCGACGACGGTGCCCTGCGGCCAAAACTCTTCGGAATCTAGCAAGGGATCGACTACAGAATTTGGTATACCCCGGAATTTGTTTGTTCGTCGAGTCTGCGAATCATGCGAAGGTGAACGCTCCCCGTATGCATTTGTATATTCGACGAAACAAATAAATTTGTAGGTGCATCAGTTCTGTAGTTGATCTCCTACTCGAGGGAGGCTGCGCAATAGGGATGCAAGCCCCCTGGACGCCCACGTCGAAGCTCTTCGAGCCGGGCCAGCCATCGAAAATGGTCAGGGATTGACCGCAGAGGCAAAGATGCATGGGTACCTTTGGGAAGGTTATACCCGTCTGCAAGCCTGCCTCCTGACCCTCCCGTCTTGGGTTCTCGTTCTGAACAGCAGAGCACTGTGGTCTCCGCCTCCTCTCATTTCCGGCCTCCCTCCTCCCCCCCGCCTCCTGCGCTGGCTCCCTGGGCGGCTGCGAGCTGAGCAGGTGTCGCCACTTTCGTGGGCTCCTGGGAGGTCCAGCGGAGGCGGGTGCCACGCGGACCCGGACGAGGCCTCGCGGCTTCCGTCGAGGCTGCCAACTCCACAGCTGTTGTCGTCCCCGTGCGCAAATATGCGGCACAACCTCTCAGCGCGTTCGTTTGTCAAGAGCACTTCTTTGAATCGTCGCCCTGCGTGGAGAAAAGGGTCGCGAACGTCTCGGAAAATCTTCACTATTCGCGATGCGACCCGTGACCGCCCCCGGCCCCCCCCTCCGCCCTGGTTCGGGTCGGGCGAAAGGGGGGGATAGCAAAGGGGGGGTTTGAGAATCAGCTCACGTAGCTGATTTTCCCGGGGCCTCCCGGCGCCGGAGGCGGCTATGTATCGAGGAATGGGCCCCTCGGTGGGGCCGAAACCAGCTGCATGCAGCAGATTTCGTACCCCCCCTTTCCCAATCCCCCCCTTTCGCCCCTCCGCCCTGGTCACGTCACGATCTGGCACTAAGGCAAGACGAAGCCAGCACAGGGACAAAACCCGCCGACCCTTCGGCGTGTGAGACGCTCTTCCGTTCGAGTCGTCGTCGTCGTCGTCGTCGTCGTCGTCGTCGTCGTCGTCGTCGCCAGTCCCAAGGACATTGAGAGACAAGGACAAGGCGCAGTGAAGTCGATTCCTTTCCTTCTCTCCTCTGCGGGGAGGGCGGTGGGGCGGGGGTGGGAGGGGGTGGGGGAGAAGGTTGGGGTGGGCGAGGGGAGGGGGTCCCAGGTCAGAATGCCGCTCCCCCCCCCCCCGAGGTCCCCACGGGCCCTGGGGGTCGCCAGCGGGGGTCCCGCGTCGGCGGCACCGGCCGTGAGGCCTTCGCAATCGGACAGGCGTACCTCGGAGATCTCTGAGGTCTGGCGATTCTGGAGGAAGCATCGGGCGCCGCGGCCTTCTCGGAGCGCCCCGGAACGCTCTGAGAGAGCCTGGGGCGCTCTGGAGCGACTTTCTCACTGTCCTCGCCCCGCCCGACAAGAGCCCACTCTTCTATGACTCGCGACAGCGCCTGCCTAGAAGACCGCCTGCCCTCCCAGAAGGCTCCCCCCTCGCGCCGGCCCCTTGCGCACGCTGCCACGTCCTCGGGGCACCCACCTTCGCACTTGGCGACGCGCGGAGCAAGAGGCGCGGCCTGTCTGCTCGCCGTGCTTGCGCGGCCACCTGTGCGGCCCAAACTGCAACGCGCAAAGCACGGCTACATTCGCGCCCATGCGGTTGACCTGGGCTATCCTGGAGCCCATGGTGTAATGCGCGATAACGCCAATGACCGGCCCCCACCTTCCCTCCCCCCTGGTCACGTCACGATTCGCGCCGGCGCCGTCTGGGAATTAGCCATCCCTAGCGCCCGTTACCGCCCAGGGGAAACACCATCTCTGATTAGCATTAGGGGTGGGGCCCTGAGCCCAGGTGTACGCCGATGGCATCGCTAGCCGAGGTCTCTTGGGCGTGTCCGTTGGTTCCTGAAGGTGTTCTGGCCCTGGGGTGCTCTTCGGCGGCTGCGCCACGCCGACAGCGTTCCAGGGTCTTGCCTTAGGTCGGGCATGTCCTCCTACAGGCGGATGTGGGGAGAAAAATAAAGAATACCCCAAAAAACTCAAGGATGGTCAAACGTACTAGAAGATTCGTCCCCTATACACTCGACAAGGATAGTAAGGATGCGCGGTATGGATGCCAGGGCCTTGAAACGCCCTGTTGACATTTCCCGCGCGGAGCGCAGCAGACTGCCGAAGGATGCCGAATACCGAAGGGGCAAGGATGCAAGGGTAGCCTTGGAACGTTGCCCCATCCTTACTAGTCATGGTTGACTGTACTATTTTTTGACCATGTTTGATCACTCCCCCTGTAGATTAAAGTCGGCCCGGTCCTCCTAGAGGCCGATTTTGGACGAAAAATTAGAAATACCCCCCAAATGCCCTAAAAATGCCCGAAAATGGTCCAAAAATAGTCCCCATATTATGTTTTGACTATCATTAAATATTCCCCCTGTAGATTTGGACGCCCGAGATGGGTACGGAAACGATGGGCACTATGCCCAACAACCAATGTTGTCCCAAACCAACAGCGGCCGCTGTTGGGCTGGCGGCCTCCTGTCTCGAATGGACACAAACCGCGGCGGCGTGGACAGCGGATCTTGTTCAAAATGAACAAGATCCGCTGTTGGGCATAGTACCCATTCTTTCAGTACCCATTTCGGGCGTCCAGAGACAAGCCCGACTTCACTGTAGAGGGACCGGCCCGACCGGAGTCTTGCCGGGACCGCCCCGAAGGGCCGCCACAGGCCCGGGCGTCGGCGGCGAGCCGCGGGGGGACGGTTTTGTTTCGTTTCGTCGCCGGGTGCTCCGCCGGCAGCGATCCCAAGCAGGTTGCGGCTTGCAACGACATCCTGGCTGCGAATGTTCGATCGGAGGAGGAGGAGGAGGAGGAGGAGGAGGAGGAGGAGAAAGGCCGAGGGGAAGTTCGAGAGTTTCGGGCGCGAGGTTCTTGGGCCTGGCGTTTTTGACGGTCATCGGCGGTTTCCCACCCCTCGGGTTGCGTTCCAGCGGCTTCGCCTCGCCGAAAGCGTCCTGAGGGGGGCCAGGATCGTCCCGAGCGGCTAGTTACCGGAGAGGCGAAGTATGACCCGATGGGGCCCTGAGGGACCCTCACCTCCTCTCGCTGTGACAGAACGGGAGGTGTTTGGCCGTTTTCGGCCTCAAGGGATCCTCACTCGGCGTCGCGACCGTTAGAAAAGGGTCCAGGGTGAAAAACCGGTCCTGGGGAAGGAGTCCAGACCTCTGGGGGTCGACACTGTGAAACAAATAAGGTCGTCGGAGTTCTTGTAAATGGATCGGCGAGCGAGGGGGAGAAGTGAGCAGGAGAAGGTCTTCTCAAAGGCTGCGGGGCTTCTCGGAAACCCGCGCGCCTTCTGAGAAATTTTCTGTGTCTTCGGGGAACGCTTAATTTGAAAACTTCCCAGACATCCGGCCGCTCCAATTTTTTCCATTCGTGGGCCCCAGAAGTCCAGACCACTTCGCCAGGGTCGTTTTGTTTGTCCTGAGTCGTTTTGTTTACGGTCCCGAGGCCCAGCAAGTGCCCCTGGAGGCCGAAAATTGCCAAAATCCCCCCGCTCCAATATTCTTGGAGCGTCGAATCTCTGGGTTCTCGGAGGGGAGAATGAGAGGGGAGTGAGAGGGGGGGCCTTCTCCGAAGACGGCGGGGGCTTCCCGGAAGCCCTCGCGCCTTCCGAGAAGCCTAGCGCGCTGGGGGCTTCTGAGAAGCCCCGCCACCCTCCCAAGAAGGCCTGCCCCCTCTCCCTTCTGCGACGAAGCCAGGACGAGGAGATAACATCTGGTGAGGATAAATTTAAGTCGGGCCTGTCCCTCTACAGGGGGAATATTCAAAAACAGTTAAAAAAATAGCCTGGGGACTCTTTTTTGACCATGTTCGAGCATTTTTAGGGTTTTTTTTGGGTATGTGTAATTGTTCGTCCAAAATCGGCCTGTAGGGGGACAGGCCCGACTGAAGGATAGATCGAGCAATTCTGAGATCCCGCGACTCTGGAGTATGTCTCGGGCACCGCGGCCTTCTCAGAGCGTTCCAGAAGCTCTGCGAGCGTTCCAGAACGCTCTGGACCAGATTTATCCTCGTCCTGGCCTCAGGTCGGGCGTGTCCTCCTACAGGCGGAGCTTGGACGGAAAACTAGAATACCCCCAACGAAAATCAAAGCATGCTAACACATACGGAACAAATCGTCCCCAGACTATATTTGAAGATTCCCCCTGCAGAGGGACAGGCCCGACTCAGTCCTAGCCCCGTCCGATCTCACTTCCCCCCTGGGCGCGCCGCCGACTGCGGGACGGGGGCCCTGCATCCAGCTCTCCAGCGACCATTGAGGCCGGGCCCGGGACAGAACGACATCCTTCAAGAGCATTGAGGGGCAACACGATAGGGGGGGGACTTCCTGTGCAGGTTGGGGCTATCGGGCCCCCATCGGCGATCAATGGGCGATTGGGGGTCGATGCATCCCCCCCTTATGCGTATCCCCCCCCCCCGATCGCTGCACCCGAAACACGAGGCCCTCCGCCGGCCAAGACACACGGAACCTCCGAGGGCACCCGCCCCAGGAGGCACGAGAACATTGCTCGAGCCTGGCACCTCCTCCTCCTCCTCCTCCTCCTCCTCCTCCTCCTCCTCCTCCTCCTCCCCCTCCTCCCCCTCCTCCCCCTCCTCCTCCTCCTCCTCCTCCTCCTCCTCCTCCTCCTCCTGGGCCCCCACAGGGGCCCGTGGCCGGTCAGGGGGGCCCCTCAAAAGCGGATCCGGGGCGAATCGCGCTGCCCCCGTGGAAGGGGCGTCGGGACCTCCAGGGGCCGCGGGGCTGGGGCCGTGAGCAGGGGAACGGAACATGACATAGACATAAAAGCTCGGAGGTCCGCGCGGATTTCTCGGATCCGCGCTGGACCCCCCTGGCGGCGCCTCAGGCGCCGCCACTGGCGCGCTCCGCGCGCCAAGCAAGGGGGTCTGGCGCGGATCAAAGAAATCCGCGCGGAAGTAAGAGTTTTATGCTTATGCCATTTTTTGTTCCCCCAGTGAGGGAGTGGAGGCCTCCCAACTGGGATCCGAGTGGATGGTATTGGAGGATCCCGCCGCATTGTCATGCATCGCTGCATCGCCGACGCATCGCCGATGCATCGGCGACGTCTGCGATGCATCGGCGCGGTCGGCATGGAGACGATCAGGCTATACATCGAGCCGCGTCGCCGATGCACCGGCGATGCGGCGCGTGATCCTCTGACCCCATCCACCCGGACCCCACTTGGGAGGCCTGGAGGGAGGGGGCCCCAAGGATGATCAGGAAGGGATCCCAAGTCGAACCTGCACCGTTCGAAGCCCCTCGTCCTCAGGCTTGGAAATCCGACGTCAACATCTACAGCGGCCGCTGTTGGGCAAGCAACCCTCTGACATCCACGGACCAGGTCCGCGGCGACGCCAGCCGCGAACTCCGTCCCAAATGGACAAGAGCTGTTGCCGGTCTGCGCGCCCTCTCCTTCCACGCCCGTTCCGATCGCACCCATCAAGGCCCCACGTTTGAACCGCCGACTCTCGTCCTCCACCCGCCCGCCCCCGACGTCCGTGCTGCAGCTGCTGCTGCTGACGCCGCGAGGGACAGCAAGGGCGGCACGAGCGTGTGCTGTCGGAGGCCCGCTCGGGTCTCTCTGGGACGGCCGCCCGCCTCCGCCCCCCCGCGATGCGCGGGCGGCCTTCGCGACCTCGCGAGGCCACCTTGGAGAAGGGCAGCTTTCTGGCCTAGACTACGACGGGCGAGTCACAATTATCTTCGCACCACCACAGGCGACCTAGACTTCTTTCAGGGGGACGTAAGACCTGGGTACAGGGGACTCGGAAATCCCCGACGAGGTCGTCAAAAAAATGACGAGGCCGAGCCTGCATTTTGACGAGGCCTTCCGCTGCAGACATCCCACGAAACTCCTCCTCGTCAAAATCCGAGGCGCGGTTGTCAAAAAACGATGGCGAACCCGAGTCCTGGCAAACCCGGGTCTTACGCTCCCCCGATGATTCTTGGGTCGCCGCTGACCCCCTCTTCTGGTGCGCGGAGCGCGCCAGGGGTGGCGCTGGAAGCGCCGCCAGGGGGGCCCAGCGCCGACCCGAGAACTCCGCGCGGACCTCTGAGAGTTTGCTCGTGCTGCCTTTGATGCCTCGGGATGTGCCTCAGGATCCTCGCCTGGCGGCGCCTGCTGACGTGCCTCATCAGTCCGAGGACCACGAACGCCATGGCGATGCAATAGGCCGTGATGGCCATGAGCGTCGTGTGCGCGTACTTCGTGAGGATTGCGAAGATACCGAAAATAACCAACAAAATGATCCACGTGACCGTGGTCCCGTGCACAGCATCAACGATGCCCTGCTCCACACACAGTGACAAATAAGCGCTGAAATCTAGACGTTCTTCCAGCATGGGCAAAAAATCGTGGTCCTGCCGGTCATGGGGATCAAACCGGACATGCTCCAGGATATCTTCGTACAGCTCAGGCCGCGTCGTCTCCCAGCGCGAGGCCTTCGACAAGAAATGGCTGCGCCAGCGCACAAAGACCTGCGTGCCTTTGTCCGCGTTCAGCATGTCTTGCGCAGGCTGCAGCCTCGCCTGGCCGGGGCCCCCGCCCGCAAAGTGGCGCAGCTAAATGGACTCCAGCTGCTCGATGTACTGGATGCTCCCCTCAATGATCATGCGCAGCAGCACAAAATAGAGGATCATGCCCAAAAAGAGCTGCATGTGGACCACCTCTGCCAAATGCAGCCAGGCTTCTGGCTTATCTGGGTAGCGGTCCTCTCCCGAAACGATATGGTCTGCCATCCACTCGAAGCCGCCCGCGTTGTTGAAAACAAAAATGCAGAATGCAAGAAAACCTAGTGTCATGAACTCTGCTCCCATCCTGTGTACGAGCTGCTCCAATAAACGCACATGGTGCCTTTGATGCATATCAGGGATACTCTTCGTCCGAGATCTTCGGAGAATAGGACTTGCGTCCAGCTGCTGACCATAGCGATAAGAATGCTTGGCGCGCGAAGAAACACTGTGCCACACGTTTTCAAAACAGAGGGCGAAAAAAGCGAGGATCATTCGGAGAATCACCTCCAAGTAATCATGCTGATACTGGTGCTCGAACCAAGTTTGGTCAGCGGCACCAGCCATTAATTCAAATCGGATTTCACGCCTCCGATTCTGGCCGCGAGCAATCCTTCTCGTGACCAGTGAAGAAAACCTCTCCTCGAGCCAAATTGGTGTCAACACGTCATGCCACATAAAACATTAGGAACGGCGCTATTCCAACCTGCTGGTCATACATTTCGTACAAATTTATCAACGTGGATTTCTAACCAATAAATGATTCAACTCGCGATGTGCAACTTAGGTTGGGCAAGCTATGTGGTGTAACTTATGTGTAAGCTAGGTGATGCAACATGTGTGGTGTGATTTCGTGTAATGCGCGTGGTGCAGAAATGAATCCCTCGTACATTAGTCTGGCGAAGGGCCAAATCATATGAAGCTCCGAGAATCGCGAGGCAAAGGAGAAGGAGGGCGTGAGGAGTCAGGGGTGCGCCGAAACGGGGCACGTACGCCATGCGGACCCTGCCGCTGGGGCCTTCGATGGGGCTCCCTCTGGGGCCACGAAGCGTCTGAAGGGCATACCGAATCGGGTGCGGACACGCCATTCGGACCCTAACGCTGAGGCCTTCGGTGGGGCTCCTCATAAGCGTGTGAGTGGCTTGCCCAATCGGGTGTGGGTAC